GGATGTTCTTCATCTCATTAATTCGCGTATCAATCAGGATTTTCGATTAAGAGAGGGGGGAGCAGGGGCAGAAAAGGTCTTTTCCCCCAAAATTTCAGACTTTCTGCCGAAATTTTTGATAACACTTTGCGGAATTTTTAAAGTTTAGTTCAGCAGAAAACTCCTACATTTACTGATATAAAATTAAATCAAAGATGCTTTCTGTGAAATTTCTCCCAGAAAGTCGATTTCGTTTCTGCTGTTGTGTGTCATGATCCTCTCTTAAGTGACATATACTCATGTATGCATCTGAAACGGTGATGAAGACTAATTATTAAAACATTTGTACTTTTTCGCTTCGAAATAATTCTATATTGAAAAACTTTTATGTCGAATAAGTCATGCTTACTAGTCTTTGCTAGTAACGAATAACTTTTGACTTTTAGTAGGCTCATACTTTTTTGCAAAAAAATTCGACTTTCTGCAAAAAAATTATAGACTCTCCATCAATTTTTTTAAGCTTCTCCCTCTGCTCCCGAAAACAATCGAAAACCGAGGCATCAATTGGAATACTTTCTTTAACTTTTTCCAATCGGTCATCAAAAGAGACTCTTCTGTTGCAGACTCGAAATGATATGCATATTTGCTTGAAAACTCGTCGTTAGTAACCTTAAAGAGTTGCTTTTTGTATCATACATCCTTTTTCTTTGATTCTGATGAAAGCTGATTGAAACATACGTTTCCATCAAACAGCAAGTGACTCATAAATAAGTTTGTAGTCGTATGATCAATTTTTACTTTCTGATTGTTTCTTCCGCAGAACACGATTCCTTTAATTATATAGCGCGAAGATGCCTCAAATATTACAAAACAATGGGACTCATAGTTAATGTTGAAGTAAACATCCATGAAAGCGTGAAAAAACCTATGTTTTAACAATAAGTATGACAGTCTTCCTATTGCTAATGACAACTTTTCAAGTACAGGCCTTACTGAATCGTAGTATATTGATGGATTTTTGACATTACTAAAAGTGTTTCAGTGGCTGCCACTTTGCATAGGATCGAAGTCGAGAAACGTCTTGTTGTGACCTAAACCGATGCAAACCTGATATGAACTATCTAGAAACCAATATATTCTATGATAACTAATTAGTTCAAACTGTTACGTCAATATTAATATTTGGTAATTTTCAATATGACCATCCTTCTTTACAATATCTATGGTGGACTGTTAGAAGATATGAAAAAAAGCAATGCGTCTTGTACAATAAAAGCAGTATATTTGTTTCACTATTTTAGTACGGCGGTAGGGATGAATACCTTTCACCACTGCGTGATCAAAAAGTAGAAAAAGCCTTGATTTTCTGCAGTCTTTCATTAAAAATAACTGCCAAGACACGAAAATTTTTTCTGATCAGGTCGATCGCCGATGCCTGTTACATCTTTAGATCAAGAGTTATGAATATGACATTCTTCATTAGCACAATAAATCTTATTGAATGACACTGTTTACTTTTCAAAACTCATCTCTATGAAATGATGTATATGACACGTCAATGAGTTTTTTTTTTGAAAAATTTTACCTTTTGAAAAGCATTAAAAAGAAAAGAATATCATTTGTATTCAGCGATAAATATTACATTTTAGGTTGAAAGATCTGAGTAGACATTCAAAAAGTTGTAGATTTTGGTTTACTGATACGAGTTATTCTGCCTATAGACAATTTAGAAGAATTTTGCAAAGTTGATGTCCACTTGTGTTACTCACCTATTGCCGACTCTAGACTTGTATAAAATTTGTCCATGCCTATCGTTAGTAAACATCACATCAATTTAGCATTTTCACTTCTATTGCTTTTTTTGATATTATCGAATAAAAATCTTCTTCTTTTTAATATTAATAAAACAATTCATTTCTGACATTTCACTTTTCGACTTTTTGCTTTTGCCTGTTTTTATCCATTTGACGTCTTCAATTTCTCTATTTCTTTTTTTGCATTTACGTCTTCGTCATTTTGCTTTTTTTTGACATTTTCTTATTCAATATTTTCCTTTTACGCGCTTTTCACCAACTCCTTTTTGACATAGGTGATGCTCGCGAGGTTTAGTATCTCGTTGGATCGATTGTTCCATTTTTCAAAACTACTGGCATTGTCAACCTTCCTCTACATATACCTAACCACGCCATCACCTTGACCGAGGTTTTCGGTTTTTCATGAACAGTACCTTCGTTGTCAGAGCCTTCCCTGTTCACAGTCCATACCCGACCGTTCTGAGCACCGTAATTTACGGAATGAAATGGCTAAACCTATAAATTGAGACCACGTAACAACAAAGGCAACATTGATAGACGAAATAAAACGTTTTGTCAAAATAATTGAAAAAGGAAAAAAATTACATTTTGTTCTTGATTTTACTGTACAGTCACGTTTCATCCAAAAACATGGAAGAAGCTATAGTCATGCAACAAAGTATGCCAAAATGGGAGCAGAATTATGAGCACTATCTTTTAATTAGAAAAAGTGTTTCAATCAAGGGGATCATGGAGGAGACGTTTCAAAAATGCTACGAGGACATTTCTATTCTGCGCTATTCATTATATCTATTTGTTCTTTTCAATCATAATTATATAAAACTATCGAAAATGGAAAACTTTGTTCGAGTTTAAGCTATAGGAATCTCATGGTATCTTCTAAATCTAAACTATATCACTGCCTTTTGACCCAACCTTTGCATTTTGCTTTTACTATGCTAATTCTTGTTCAGGTTCAACCAAAAACTCTTCTCATGTCAGAGATCGAACCAGGACATCGATATGAATTGGTTTGTACAACCGACGCCGGATTGGTTCGATACAGAATGGGAGATGTTATCAATTGCACGAGGTTTCTTTGTCGAGCCGATGATTTAGTTCCGTTACCAGCAGAACCAGTAGAGATCCCAAGAATCCCTCTCATTTCACTCGCATATCGTGTTGGAACTCTTTTGGATGTACATGGCGAGAAAACAAATGAACAACATGTGATGAATGCTCTCCAGCAAACTATTCGTCAATGGAGAGAACAAGGAATACCTACTGACTTTTGTAACTTTACATCGTATCCAAGATTAGATGTTTTTCCGGCTAAATACGTCATCTTTCTAGAATTGATTGAGGATCAAGGACGCAACATTGATGCACAACAATTTCAAGTTCTCAAGAATACCGTCAATGCAGAAGTCGAAGAACAACTTTGCAAAGCAAACCACAATTATAAAGATAATCGAAGTTCAACAAAGCTTGGTCCACTTGATTGTATTCTTGTGCGAAGTGGAACATTCTCGACTTTTTTGCGCAAATTCTTGTGCACCGAGCGTGTGAGTCCTGTGCAAATCAAACCTCATAGACTGTTGAGGAATGCGGAACACATTAGATTCTTTTATGAGAGTCAAATTGATACATCATGTTTTTAATCATAAGTATTCTTGCAACCATAATGATAATCGAGTCGATTTTCATTTGATGTCGACGATTTATTTTTGATTTAAATATTGATTTGTTTGAATTAACTAACGTTTTTTTTTCAGTTTAACACATTTGAAGAATAAATATATTATCATTTATACTCTTCTACAGGTTCCACTATAGCTACAAAAAGATTCGATATCCAATATTGTTCTAATAATTGAAAACCTAAGAATGTGGGTGTGGGTGTGGGTAGGTCTATGCTGACTTTCTCTTTACTTACATCCACACTCACATCCTTTCCCTACTTCAGTTCAAGTCTAGTCTTTTTGAATCACTGAACTCTACCTCTCTCCTATCTGCTGTCCAATTTTGAACCAATCTGCTGCCACTGTATCTGGACGCCTTTTATGAATGGTTAGAAACAGAAAACAAGCTCTAAAGTTTCGAGATTTTTCTTAATTCGTGTTCAAGATGGATTTTCAATAAAACAAGATAAGATAGAATAATTGAATTCCGAAAATGTGATATTAAGAATGCTACTTGGAATTCTGTCGAGAATATGAGATTAAAGACAGCTGAATGACACATTGATCATAGATAGTGAAAAAGAAAATTACTTAAATATGTATATATCATGCATATAAAATGAAATAATTCAATGTCAATATCATATGATAAACTTTAATGGGTAACAATGTATAGTGAATGAGACATTTAAAACCTATATGAAGATTTGAAAATATATCAAATCTTTGACAAGCATCAAATTCACAAAGTTAAAAGAATACTAAAATTGTAGCAAACAATTGAAAATTGCTTTGTGATTTTTGGTTTTTATCAGATGATACATTTTGATTTAATTGCCGCTTGATTCGAATCATAAAAATGTTAGAAGATACGATCCAAAAAATTTAAATTAGAAATCGTTAATAAGAAATGCGATTACTAGTGGTTAACGAAATAGTTGAAATAAACTTTTCATTTTCAACGAGTAAAACTCTTTAAATTGGTACAAAACGAAAATCAGATGTGGATTACCTTTCAATTATTTTTTTGAATCAGTTATTTGATTCAGAAAAATTATTATCTAGAGAAAACTCTTTTCACGTAAGCAGTTTTCTAGTTACATAAAAAAGAATTCATTAAAAAATCCATTTACTAACAGATAATTTTTTCAGAGTATGGGTGTTGGTTTGCGTGTGGATATGGTCTGCGCTTCACACACTGACACTCACTCACGACACCCGCACCCACACTCTCGTATTTTCTGCAAATCTTGGACGCATGTTTGCTTATATTCTCGTATATTCGTTGTATGACTTGCTAACTCTCTTTTCTTTCGGTTAGGACAACACTAAAGTAGTTGCAAGTTCAGGGTCAGCTATACATTGAGGATAATTAACATCAGAGCAAAAAGTGTAATGATATATATATGCAGAGGAGCATTAAATGAGACAAGATGAGATGAGATAGTCAAACGTAAATGTTCGACCCATCAACTCTATTTGACAGGAAATGAGACTCTAAGACTAATCAAGTTTATTCTAATATAAAGAAGCTAGCAAAATCGTTTTAAGCACTGTTTTTAATTAAATCTGCTGCTCTCTCCGCGAGCGCAACAATTGGAATATTTATATTGCCAGAAATATGGCTTGGCATAATACTTGCATCAACCACACGTAGACCTTTTATTCCTTTTACTCGTGTATCAGGCGTTACAACGGCCGTTGGATGGTCTTCTTTCCCCATTTTACATGTACCTATTGGATGATACACTGTAACAGAATATTTCCGAACGAATAATTCTCAAAATTGATCTTCGTTTTCTGATACTTCATCTACATTCATTACTTTTGCAGTTGAATTGAATATACCTTTCAGTGGTTCACTCTGACAAATTTTTTCAACTAGTTTACATGCTTCGACTGGTGTATGAACATCTTCTTCGTCTTCCAAATAGTTTGGATTGATAATTGGATGTGCAAAGGGATCACGACTTGCAAAAGTAATTTCACCCTTTGATTTTGGATGCAAAAGTATAGGTAAGAAAAAGGCACCCAATTGTGACCCATCAAATAGATATGGTTTCAAATAGTGGTTATAAACTTTCGGTTTGAAGTTAGCATTCTGATAAAGTTCATTGTTAATTATAACCGGTGAAAAAGTGCATCTGAATATCTGGTACTTGTGTTTTATCTGAAAGAACAGATAGCTAGTAGTAAACATGTGAATTGATAAAAAAATTAACTTAGTCTAGACTCAAATTACCATTTTCATTCAACTTGTACCACGATAAGCATTGAGCAACAGACATTGTGAACGGATTCTTTTCTTGAGTCGTCGATTGTTGTAGGTTTTCAAGTGTTATATCATCTGTTGCAGCTGTTGGGATTCGAGGCAGGTAGACTAGACTCGTCATTAGATGATCTTGTAAATTTTTTACCAACACCAGATAAATCAACGATCACTGGTATTTCATGTTTATCTAGTTCTTTTCGAGGACCAATTCCAGAGAGAAGAAGTATTTGAGCACTTCCAACCGTACCAGCGGATAATACAACTTCTTTACCTTTAATAAACTCTTCTTTATCTAATGAGCTGCTGCGTTTGGTAACGACACCTACAAATATGAAGCATGTTTTGTTCGAAATCAATATTTAAATAAGCATAAGGAATATTAGCAGTGGATTCAGTTTTTGCCTACTAATATTTGCGCCTACATATGAGATGAGTTTCTTGCTGGTTTCACTATTGATTGACTTTGAATTTGCATCGAACCAGAAGTATTGGTGCTGGGATCTTTTTCGCCAACAGTACTTATTGATATTCTCTGCTAGTATCACTTTGAGTTTCTAACTGGTTCGCTTAGATACCAAAATTATGATAACTCATCTAGTATCTAACTATGAATTAAATATTTAAAAAATCATTTAAAAACATTCTGAATATCAATTAGGATACTAGATGAGCCACAAAAAGTGTTATAAAAGAAGTTCTTGCAATTATATTGTGAGTACTTTTTCATATCCTTATTGCATTCAGTTTTTTGGTCATTCTATAGATAAAATCTATGTTGCATAAACGTATTAGCACACTTAAGAAGCATGTAGACAGAATTACCAGGTAGGAGAATTCAAAATCATGAATGTAAATGTTACAAACCACAATAATATCGAAAAATCTTTTAATGGTTAGTTTAATTCAGGGAAAGTACATTTTTTTGTTAAGCAAATTCTAAATAATGTCATACTCCATCTCCACAAAATATATTTCAAAAATTAAAAGAAAAATATCAAAATATGATGGACTACACGAATTAACGACTCATAAAAAGACTGTGCATTCTGATGTTAGCGTGTAAGTAGGTGTGGGCGTGGATTCCACATCAGTTTACCTATACCCTCTTTCATTCAGATCTCTAGCTGTGTGTTTTGATGAAACATTCTAAAACTGTAAGAAAAAAATGAATTTTAAGTGTACAATATACTGCCCATTTATTTGATTGCTGTTGAGTAAGAAACATGGACAAACAATATTCGAAAGTGAATTTAAAATAATTGGTCTTTTGAGCTAGTCAACACATGAAAAACCTCAGTTTCTTTAGAATCATTGACAGATTTACAGGGATATCAACAAACAAGTGAAATAAGTGTAATGTAAAGAGTACCTGAAGTCATCAAAACTTCAGAGACCAGAGAAGTTCAAAAAGAAATTGCGAATTTGGAAATTTTTGGGCCAAATCCACAAAAATATTGCAACATTGGTTGTAGACCATCGTGTACATGAATTCTCTTTGATTACACGAAAAATATGAATCGAACTTTTACTAAACTTCTGTTGTTTTCAATAGGTCTTATGCGAATTCCACTCGAATAATCAATGTAGCATGAAGTACAGGTCTCGAGTATCTGAAAAAAGTGGACATGTTGTACTAAACGAATGACTCGTTTGATGACGACTCATTAGATATCTCTTTGTTTTGAACGATTTTCACAACCTAATGGAGTCACCATTTTTCTGCTTCCATTATTTCTAAAATTCACATTTTGACTAATTCGTGAATTCAAGAAGAAGAGTAATTGGAACTCAGAGATGGCGAAAGACATCACTACAAGTGTGGGTACGGGTATGTGTTAGAATGCAGTAAAACAAGACCCACACCCAGACTTCGAAAAATTGATGCTCGAATATCGATTGAAAACTTTGCATAGTAATAGTTTTTGACGAGAATAGGTTTTTATGAATGTTTCAGATATCTTCACTATTTTTATGCGTAATTCCAACAAAAATAATAACAGGTCTTTTACATCACTTCGATAAATCAGCAGATTCAATTCTCTTATTTCAGGATTGAAGAAACTAAATCAAAAGACTTGAAACATTCACAGAAATTTATTTTTGTCAAGACTTGTTACTATGTAAAGTATTCAGTCGAAGTGTGATAATCAATTTTTCTGGTGAACCTAAAGGTAACCACAGCACTTGTCTAAAAAGTACCCTATAAAAATACAGTATGTCCAAGCAATAAGCTAACTGTCTGAACCTTTTTCAGTGTATGCATAGTTCATTTCAATCTACATAATGCTGATAACCGCAACACAAAAAGTGATTGAACAGTTGGTGATCTTCTCTCATAAAGTTTTCAACACTTCAATATGATACGATTGATGATTGTTTACCTGCATTTTTATTTCACCTGAGATGTTCCTAGAAGTGACGGTCATAATAGTTAAACCATTTAATATAGTTTGACATATGAAAATTAACGAGAAATAAAGAAGATTTCTTTAAAATTTAGAGTTTTTTTTTCATTTTTTTACGTCACAATGTGCGTTAGAAAATATTTTATTTTGAAAACTTTTACGAAATGGGATGGAAAAATACTTGCGAAAATATTGTTCGATCTCAGAGGACACTCTTGACAAAAAAGGCCCGTCTAATTCTCGACTTACCGTGTACTTGTTTTTCCTCATCAAATACTACTCGGCAACAATGTACATGTGTAAGAATATCTAAATTTTCTCGTTTTACTGCTTTTAACAGATAAGCACTTGCTGTTGACCAACGTTTGCCTTGTCTTGTTGAAACTTGTGACAATGATACATTTTCAGCATTGTAATCATTTAGTTTCATGAGATCCATTCTTTTCATATGCTTCAAAAAGCATTCGATACACTGGACATGATTCTTCAAGCATCGTTACATCCATCATTCCCTTTTCTTGATCATGATTACGAAACTGCTCATTTCTAAGAATTGTGCTCGGATCAGAGCGTTCCAATCTTTTGAAATATTTTAACATTTCTTCAAATGACTATTGTGATAATTGCCAATTATCATAATCATGTGGATCACCGCGAACATATTGTATAAAATTTATAGAAGAACAACCACCTAAAACTTTACCCCGTGGCCAACTACTTTGCTGATTGACGCAACCAAAGTGTGAATAAAGTTGAGGTGTAGTCATATATTGCCAATCGATTTCACTACGCTGTAAGCTGCCATTGAAACACAAAACAAATGACATGCTATCCAGTGGAAGTCATAGATGACATTCAATCGAAGAAGATGCTCTGAGAGTTTGTACAGGCTTTCAGATGTTACTCATTAGCAACTTTTTCATGTAACAAAAATAGATATCTGTTTGAACCGCTTTTTTCGCGTTGATCATCTTTTTTACGGCTGTAGGTGGGAGTGACAGTAGACCCACACTCACACCCTTTGATGGAACTGATTACACTATGTGTACTACTTTGATTATAATAATCGTAACTGAGTTCTCACTCACCAAGCTTCTGGCATATGTATTTCGTCCTTGGTGTGAGAACCACCAGCTTCGATCAGAAGTACACGTTTATCATTTTGTTCCGATAGACGATTAGCTAAGATAGCACCTGCTGATCCTGAACCAACAATAATATAATCATATGTGATGCCATCAGTTTTTGTCTGCGAAAAATCTCGATCCCATCGTTCAATAAGAGTTAATGATTCATTGGCAGCTGGTGCAGCAGTCTGCTCATCAACGCTAGTGTTCGACATATTTTGTGCTCAGAAAAGATATAAACTAAATAAAATGTGAGAAAAAGAAATAACAAATGACATGTGAAACCACGCTGTTTGATAGAGTATCCTATCTATGCTTAGCGCAAAGAAAAGAAAAATGATAATGAAAAAAAAAGTAGTATTTTTCTCTTTCTAACTGTTTGTAAGGCATTAAAAATAGTCATATTTTTTCATCAAGACAAGATCAGTATTACACACAGTCGTCATTCAGACAAAACTAGAGTTTTTTTACCGGCTTTTCAAAAATTTTCATATTACACATACAAAATGCAATAAAACCGATAAAAACAAAAATGAACAAAAAATACTTCGCTATACTACTCTCATTTGCGTATCTATCTTTTTATTTCTTCTATATATTCGTTCTTCGTTCCCATCAATAAATCCCCATCATAACCTCAAAACAAAACTGCGATAAGAAATTTAAAAAAAAGAAGTAAAAAATGTTTCTAGAACAAATAGATCGCGATAGTAATAGAATGTATTATGGCGTGTGAAGTGTGAGTCGATCATAGCTATCACCTCATCTTTTCTTATGAAAGAGCATAAGAGCCTTGAATAAATCATTTCACATTCGCTTACATAATGGAAATGCAGGATAGTAACTAATGAGAGGTGGGGTGTGAATGAATTGAAAATACTCACGCTCGTACCCTTCTTACGGAGTTTATTTGAACAAATGAATAAACAAATATAAATTAGTTTATTCATGAACATCCACACCCACACCCTAATAATCATCAAAAAACAATAGAGTAAACACGAAGTAATAAAAAAAAAATATGTACATGAATAATTTTCCAAGAACTACATGAGATTATGATCCGTGTAAGATTCTAAGGACTATTTAGAAGTGGTTTTTGTAAATATTCAAAGAGAACCAAAGAATAATCTCAATAACTTTCTAAGATAGATCTGAGAGTAACTTTTTCCCATTTGTCAAGACCTAGCAAGTTTTGGTGCTCTGATTAGATTATTTTACCACAAGTTCCTTACAGCGAATTTTCGCTAGCTTCGTTTATGTTTAAAGAAAAATAACAAATCGTTTAAAACTGACTATCAAGTTTAAAGTTATTCTGTTTAACTCTTTATTTGATATTGGATCATGAATTGATTAATATGAGATAAAATCTGTTGTATGTCGATATTTTATCAATAAAGAATCTATATTTCGAAAATAATTTTTTCTATAAATTCTATTGAACCTCGTTCAATCAACGAGTCTATTTTTGTAAACTATCCTTTTATTCAATTAAATTACAGCATGGCTTTCTTTTACTTCGCTAAAGAAAAAATATATTGGACTTTAACTTACTGATAGTACAACCTTATTGACGTCTGAGTGACTAAATGGATAGTGTAGAGAAACGAATATTTCGATCTATCTATGTTGGATAAAAATTTTATAGAGAAAACATTGCCATAATATAGTATTTGTCTCACACGCTAATCATCTAATTATTGAATTTCAAATAATGTGTTGAACAGAATAACTTTAAATTTAATCTTTAATTCTAAATGATTCATTGGTATTCAATACAACCAAACTAACCGATGGCTTTTAATATTTTCTTATTCTTACCTATTTATAAATGAAACTCAAAGTAATTTATTTCAATAAACTCATATTAAAATGCTATCTATTCAAATCATTACACCTTGATGATAGTTCTTGAAAAAATGAAAAAAAATTCCTTAGATGTCTCTTAGAAAGTTACAAATAACAGCGTGAAATATCTCTGTAAATAGGGTACATTGATTGTTGATCTTTTATCGATCAATTTTTATAACTATGATGTTGAAAGAATTCCTATGATAGGATCTAATGTATAAATACAAATTGTATTCTCATCAATTCTTATAGTTGTGTCAATCGTACACATACCCAATCAAAAGGCCTATAATTAAAAAATATCTACTCTCATGGATTGTTGCAGTACAAGATAGTGCATGAAAATAAAAGTCATTATATTTGGAGTTTTGAATGGTGTAGGATTGATAGTACTTGTATTTGCGCAATCTTCGTATGAACGTCTGTTTTGCTTCCTCAATCTGAACTAATGAGCTAGATTGATTTACTACTAATAATAAATGTGATGTAGTGTATGTTTTTATTATTTACTTTTAAATTTTTATTACTTCAGTGGCTGTTTAATAAAGTATTAGAAAACAATTATAGTTAACCCTTCGTTAATAAAAAAAAGAAGAATGAAATATATTATCCATCAACCAATGTTAAATAACTTTTTCATAGATGAAAGTAAAAAATGGAATAAAACTCTATTGGTTAAAACAATATTGAATATGCTATATATTATCGTATTTGTATGATGCACCTTCTGTTGACCTATGTAAAGAAAATATATATCGATCGTTGTTTGTGATACAGTTGGCCAATAGTATTAATATTCTTGGTGACTTTATTTCTTCCTTTTTAACATCGAAAGAATAAGAGAGTGACATTCACGTGTGCGTACTTTTTCATTTATCGATTAATAACACATTTTATCTTGTCTGGTTTCTGTTGTGATAAACATCTATACATATTTACTGCTGAATTGGTTTGTCTTTTGGGGACATTATCACTTATAAGTATGTTTATTTAGTAAAATGATATTATTTAGCAATTTAATTTTTTTTTGTTTTCGAGACTTTAATCACGATTAATCTAGACATGTTTTCATGTATTTTTCGTTGAATTTGAATTAATTGTTAAATAATTCCTGTAAACATTATATATCATGTTTGAAAGTTGCAAATTCTATCATCAATGATATATTATTGATCAAGTTCATTTTTACTCGAGCTGAGTTTCATGTATTTTTTAGTTAGAGTTTTTCTAAAATCTTGATATTTTTAACTATAAGCTTTAAAAAATGGAATTTTAGACATATTTCACTGTTAACAATGATTGAGAAGGTAGACAAATACGAACTATTCTAGTAAATTAATTTTATTGATGGAAAAATTTTTTTATTATTTTATTTAAGTTCACAATATTAAAATGCAAGCTGAAGAAAATACCGACAACGCGACGATGATTCACATTCCAAATTGGTCTCTTTCCAAACAATCATTATTAACTTCTGATCTAGAAATACGACGTACACGCAAAATTCTTGTCATTATCTGTGGTATCTGTCTTGTGAGTTTTTTTTTCTGTTCTGTTTTACATTAATATAAATTCCATTGAATGTTTTACATGAACAACAAAATCTAAATTCTCATCTGATTATGAAAATGAATTAGTAAAATTATATATTTCGAAATTATTATAAAGTATCAAGCTATTCATCACTGATTTTAATTGTTGATTCGATATTCTCCGTTTAAAATATTAAACGAACATATAAGAAGATCATTATTCGATTGTTAAGTAAGGCATTAAATATGATATAAAGCATAATTCAAACTATCTATAATACTCTTATGTTGATTGTGAATACAACTGTGCTTAGTTTCTTTTTTGATATTTTTTACTAAAGGCTAAAGCTGAAAGATTCTTTAGTGTTATCAATCGAATAAAGATATACTTTTACTAGTAATATTCTTCATATTCAGAAAAAATTTGATTAGTTGTTTTTTCAATGAAAAATACTGTTTTCTAGTTCTATCTTTGATATTCTCTCTAGATCAGATGTAAGCACCAGGCATTGCCCAGAAAATTTAGCACAATAGAGTTAAGATATAATAAAATGTGGGAATTTCAGCATGACAGATACTAAGGCGTTTAAAAATATATCATGTATTGAAAAATTAATAGGAAAACTTTTGCACAATGTTTTCATTTAAAGATGAAATAAAAATTTTCATAGTGATAATTATTATTTGAACAGACAGTGCTTGATTCAGTGTCATAGACTATGAGATCATTTCAACATTGTTTCATAGATATTCTAAGTATCTACTGATATACGTATATGTATATTTATCTTTTAGGTTCTTGGTATGTGTGGTTTGATTGATGCAATTTTTACTAGCACGATCAAGTTTTGTTTAATGCCAAATACACGTTTGGAAGAGATTGGGGAATGGCTCATAGAATTTTTTTTGTATGCCTTTGCATTATTTGTTGCTTATCGATACTCAGAAACAGGTTTATGTGTGGTAAGTTTGAAGTGTTTTGTTTCGAATCTAAGAATTTTTTTGTATTGAATTTATCTTCTTAACTAACCATTCAATCATAGGAAATGTTAGCACAAGCTCGATAGAAATAAAATGCAAAACACAATGTAGCTGTTGTTACTAATCATGAAAAATATTTTTTATGGAAGTCATTCTATGATTGATTTTCTCATGAATTTTTTTTTTTTGGGGGTATCAAAAAAGGTCTGTCATGATTGAGGTGGCGAAGGACAAGTTTCTCGCCTCACGCATAATTTTGAAAATATCTGGCAAAAAAAAACCAGACTCAATAATTTTGCCTATTTAGAGATTATTCAATAATTAGTCCTTTAAAAAATTTTTTCATCCAAATTGATATTTTCATATTTCAATTTTAGTTCGCTTGGTTAGGTGTTATTAATCTGGTTTTATTTGGTTTCGTTATTTTAATTCTTATTATATCTGGTATATTTGGTTCACCTAAAAACGATTCAAGTGACAAATATTCAACCACTAGTAGACAGAACATCGAACGTGTCAATAAAGAACCATATAGTCCATTCTTTTGTGTTGCTATATACACAGTTAATTTTATTCTTATGGTAAAAATTTTATCTCTTTTATTTCTATTTATTATAGAATTATTTTACTCTATAGATAATCATTGTTAAATTAACCTTCAAATTTTCGAAACTTATTGCTGCTAAAAAAGCTTATCTCATTCAACAAACTCAACGTGCAATATACTCAATTATTTAGTTATATTCATTAGTACTCATTTCTTTTTTGTTTGGTTTTTCATGTAACATACCTTTGTCACTAAGAAGTTAACAAATAAATCTCAAAAGTCTTGTCTTTATCAAAAAATTGACAAATACAACCAATATTTATATCATGTAGATTACTGCAAATCATTAATCGAATACGAGTATGAAAAGTTGTAATTATGCTGTATTCCAATGCAATAGGAATAATTTAACATGACAAATATAAATCTCTTACAATTGTTCAACGTTTTTATATTATTTTAATAAAGAAAATAAGAGTAAATATGCGAGTGAAATTATTTTTTCTGCTGCTATCGATTGATGAGACTAGGGTATGGGATGTAAATTGGATGTGGATGAAGAGAAGGTTTGCAGCTTCATCCACATCCACACTCTTCAAATATCAATAAAAATTATGTTTTTTTCAAATATTGCTTCGTTTGCAATCAATGTGAAAAACTAATTTGAATGATGTAAATGAGGAATTGTCCAAAAATCTCAAAGCTTGCATCCTTTGAATCAGTATTTCACATTGATTTCCAAAGTAGTAACAGTTGAAAAAACTCGAATAGATACTTATTTAATTGGTTTTGACGACGAATAACATGAGTCAACATTCTTGGCTTCAACTATTTATAGAAAAATCCGTAGTTTTTTTTTGATGGAAAATCAGAAAAAAAATATTAAAGGAAGATCGAATCATTTGCAAATTATAAGTAGTGTTTGAAAAATCAGATCTGTAGATTTTTTTATGATTTTTACGACGTACAAATAAACCTTAGCAAGCATTAAAAATCAACTTTCACTACTGAGCTCAACGCGCATTCTTTCGAATGATATATAACAATGACAAAATGAAAAAGACAAGACCATTATTCAAACAGATTCTCAATGCTCATAGATCTTAAAAATCTGTACAGCGAACTTTTTTCTAGATAATTTATTCGAATACTTGGCATCCAATGAATCTATTTTTTTTTTCTACAATGAAGTAGAAAAGTAATAATATTTAGCTTAGTTCATCATGTAGTTTTAACATCGCACGCTCAAAATTGAATTCGTCATTTTTAGGAAATTATTCAATGCATTAAATAGTTTAAAAAAATGACGTAGTTATAAATGAAAAAGGTTGACTGTATAAAGAGTAAAATAGTTTTGAAGATTTTTATAAGTTTATTATTGTTGACGGCAAATAATATCACATGCATTCTTTTTTTCTATCAAAATAACAAAAATACATTTTTCTATAGACAAAATCCGAGAAAGCAAAGCGTCTAGACTGACATACAGGCTAATTATAATTTTCTGTTATCTTCTTTTCTCGTTCTTCGGAAAGAAATCCTCGATTGCTATTGGCTTATTCCGACTCATTCTTTTTTCCTGAAAAACACTCAAGTACATAGGTCTCAATGAACGTCAGAAAAAGAAATGCAAATAAAAATATATTAGTATATTAAAAAGAATAATAATAAGAACTAATGACTAGTTTTTTTATGAAACAGAGACATAGTTTAGCTAGTGCAATTACCAGCTATATCAATTTCTTTTTTTCCCACTATTCTTTGGCATATTAGAACAGAAATATTCAAAAACCGTTCCTATCAAAGCTATTTAAACAAATAAATTACTAAACTTCTTTTATTTTAGTTTTACTCTAATTTTATCAGCAAGTACAACAATCATTTGGATTTCTTCAAATATCACATTCAAGACAGTAAGTAAATATAATATGAATCATTGTTTCGTATTTCCAAGTGATTCGATTTCTTGAGTATAAAACGTTTATAATTTTTACGTTCAACTCAACTATATGAAAGAATTGTAACCGCATAAACAAGGTAGATTCTTATTCTTTTCATGTTTGCGATAACGTTCCAAAACGTACGTGACATAATGAATGTGGAAGTGATGTCAAAGCTAAGTCAGACTTTGTCAAAAAAGAAAAACAGGAACTGACTGAACTCAAAGTCATTTTCGAATTGAACAATAGATTTGATTCAGCTTCGGTAGAAATGATCTCCAAAATTGTATTGTTGTAAACTATTCACATTCAATTTTTTTTTATATAAGGTTTGCATTAGATAAATATTTTAGTTACTTTCGAATATTCTATAGATTAAAAGTAGATATCAACTAAATGTTTTGTATGATAGGACTAAATGAATAATTTGTAGAATTGTAATCAAAATATGTACTATAGTTAAGATGTCTAATGAATGCAAAGTAATCGCAACGGAAACTATATATCAAAAATATGGTCAAATTGATGAGGTTGAATATGAATATGATGAAAATGATCATGGAGAAAATAGAAAATACCATATCAAGTGGTCTCGACAAGAATATCAACGGATTGCATCGACATCCTACAAACCATCAATGTCCTATGATAAGTTCATAAAAATATTACGCACATTTATGTTGGGAAAATATGCCATTGAAGATGTTCCGGAGGCATTTCTTCTTCTTGATACTGACCATTCTAACAAAATCGATATCACTGAATTACATGAATTTATATGTATCATCTTACCAAAATCAAATCCTTATTTACTACTTCATCAAATACAAAAGGCTGATAGAGATGGCGATTATAAGTTGAATTTCAATGAGTTCAAATCGTTTGTCGAACAAGGCTTTGGCCGAGATGTATCGCTTGGGTGTTTATAAAAAAAAACCCAGAAAACATTTCATTTATGTGTTCTTAGTGAGATAATTGAGTATGAATGTACGCTTGAAAAATGAAATTATAGTTATGTAGTGCTGTTTGTCTAGCTTGATGTCAACGTAAACTCAAAATAAATGGCTTTAGTCGTCATGTGAATGTCATAGATGGTTGGCTGAGTGTGAGTGCGAATCTATGGTGAAGAAAGAATCACACCCACCCTACTCATGTGTCCGATTGCGGTCAAATTGCAACGCAACTGCGATAAAAAAATCGCAGTTGCGCGTAGTTACGGTAAAAAAATTGCAGTTGCTGAAAAAGACGATATAGATGACGTTTCACTTTATTAATATTTTTATTAGGAATCACAAAAATTTTAAAAATACAAAAAATTAAAAAATTAGAAAAATTAAAAAAAACTGCTAATAAAAATATTTTTAAAAAGTTAAAAAAATAGAAAAATTTTAAAAAACAAAAATCTAGAAAATAAAACAATAAAAAAGTAAAATCTAGAAAAGAAAAAAAAATAAAAATCTAGAAAATAAGAAAATAAAAATATAGAAAATAAGAAAAGAAAAATATAGAAAAGAAAAAATATATAAAAAGACACATCTCAAGCATACGAGCTCGTTTCTTTCTTTTTCTATTACCAAGACACTTCATTTAGTCTCTCAAATTATCAAGGTAAGCATCATGAATACTTTAATAAAGTAGTTAAAGTAGAGATTTTTTCACAAAAGAAGAGCTTTTTTAAGAAAAGAACGATCGTTTATAAAGTTTGATCGCAGGTTTTAGGGGTCGAGGAATCCGAATCTGAAATCGATTTTTCGACATTTTGAGTTCGACTTTCACAAAAGTATTTTTTTCGTAAAAAAAATGATTTTTTTTAACAAAAAAAAATTTGTTACGAAAAAAATTGATTTTCTGAAAAAAATTTTTACGACAACACTGATTTTCCCACAAAAAATTGTGTGATAAAAAAATAATTTTTGTTACAAAAAATTTATTTTAGATCACTTTTTTGTAAAAACATGACTTTTTTTGGCAACAAAAATTTTTTACGAAAAAACTGATTTTCCTATAAAAAAATTGTTTGATGAAAAAAATAATTTCTTTTTCTAAAAAATTTTTTTACAAAAAAATATTTTTGTTTTTACGAAAAAAGTTTTTGTGAAAAAAAGGAACTCAAAATTTTGAAAAATCGATTTCAGATTTGGATTCCTCGATCCCATAAAACCTTGATCAAACTTTATAAAAAATCGGTTTTTTCTTAAAAAAGTTCTGCTTTTGGTAAAAAATTTCCACTTCAACTTGGAAAATTCCATGATGCTTACCTTGATAATTTGAGAGACTAAATGGAAGTGTCTTGCTAATAGAAAAAGAAAGAAATGAGCTCGTATGCTTGAGATATGTCCTTTTATACCCCATTCAGCCATTATTGGAAGTGTTTAAAAACCACCGAATCGGAAAATTAAGATATTTATTTATCATTGGCTATTTTTTCAGCAACTGTAAGAACAGTGAATAGTTTAGCAGGTACTGCGATCACTGCGTCGCAGATGCGAACGCAAATGCGTCGCAGTGAACACAGTCTATTTCTTTAATCTCAGCTGCGGCCAGTGCGTCGCAGTTATGCGCAGTTGCGATAAAAATTTCGCAGTTACGCGCAACTGCGACGCATTGATCGCAGTGCGCGTAACTGCGGCGCAGTCGGTAAAAAAAGAGGCGACATGGGTATCCACTCACACCCAAAAGAAAGCTTGTCAGCTTTCAAACTTAAAGAAAAAAGTCTGTTTCGAAGTCACTCATTGTTTGGTGTGTGATAGTATAGTTTAATTGTTTTTTTACTATTCTCATCTATGTCAACATAAACGCTGATGTTCAAATAGCCGACAAAGAGCTAATAAACAAAATTATACTCTCAACCACCAAACAATGAGTGACTTATTAGAGGTTGTCCTTGTGTAAGTTCAAAAATTCATCATTTATCTTTCTTAATTTTTGTAACGTATGAAATACAAGAATGAATGATATTTCCAACACTTTTGAGATTTACTTGGCCGAAACTTGAAAGCTCGTTGTCCGTCATAGTGCTGACGCGCCAGTTCAATTCAAACTAAATCTAATTTCAAGATTTGACTGCATGTTTGTTGTCGCAGCATTCCTAATTGAAAACGTATTTGCATAGATCAGTCTTTCGCTGTAATTTTTTCATCATCAGATCTAGTAAAATCCAGTGAGATTCAAATCAAGAATTGAGTATTGAGTTTAACTGGATTTGGTATTTGATGCGGGTATGGATGTGGGTTTTGTTAATAATGAACGGT